TTTCATTGCTGTGGGCCTGAGGCCTGCTGGGAACTGGGAACTGGGAACGTGTGCAGTTTAGCCCACTCGGCTCATGGCAGACAGGGGTCAGGGTGAGGGAAGGACTGAGGGTGAGAGGCGTTGCTCCCCAAGGGACTTCTTTCACCAGGCTCCAGAGAACCTCTAACATACCATAGTGGAGGGCTCTATCATGGGATTAACTCATTGGTTAGGTCAGGAACCTCTCAATGCCACATCTGGGGATCAAATCTTCAACACATGAGAATTTTGGGCTGGTAATTTGTGTCAATAACACAACTACCCCAGATATTTTTTTTAAAATGTAGATTATATATTTTCCATGTTAGAAGTAAGGGCATTTTAAATTAGCATTTTGTTTGTTAAATGGTGGGTGCTTATTTGACCTTATTTAAAAAAGAAATCTTTATTGTGTGCGTGTGTCACTTATAAATAAAATTTATTATTATTTATTATAATTCATTCACGTTGTATTCCAAAATAAGAAAAATATTTTCTGAAGCAAAAGGAAATGTGATTTTGTAACTTTCATGATTAATTTAGTAGAAAGCAATGGTATTCTTTATCTATTTCTCTATTCTGTGATACGTGTTTTGATTGTTGTATTATTTTGATCTCGGCATACACAGTTTAGTTAGAAAAGAGGAATATTTTTTAAATTGTTTTTATTTTTTTATATTAATTACAGTTTATTTACTTTGTATCCCAGCTGTACCCTCTCCCTCATTCCCTCCCAACCCCCCCCTCCCTCGTCTCCTCCCTGCCCATCTCTAAGTCTATTGGAAGGGGAGGTCCTCCTCCTTTTCCATCTGACCCTAGCTTATCAGGTCTCAACAGGACTGGCTACAGTGTCCTCCTCTGTGGCCTAACTAGGTTGTTCTTCCCACGAGGGGTGGAGAGGTCAAAGAGCTAGCCACTGAGTTCATGTCAGAGACAGTCCCTGTTCTTAAGTTCCTGTTCCCCTTACTAGGGCACCCACTGGGATACTGAGCTGCCATGGGCTATGTCCTAGCAGGGGTTTTAGGTTATATCCATGCATGGTCCTTGGGTAGAGAATCAGTCTCAGACAAGACCCCTGTGCCCAGATATATTTGGTCCTTTTGGAGCTCCTGTCCTTTCTAGGTCATATTAACTCCCCCTTCTTTCATAAGATTCCCTGCATTCTGCCCAAGGTTTGGTTATGAGTCTCAGCACCTGCTTTGATACATTGCTAGGTAGAGTCTTTCAGAGACCCTCTGTGGTAGACTCCTGTCCTGTTTCTTGTTTTGTCCTACTTCCAATGTCCATCCCATTTGTCTTTCTGAGTGAGGATTGATCATCTTACCCTGGGTCCTCCTACTTGCTTAGCTTCCTTACGTGTACAGATTTTAGTATGTTTATCCTATCTTATAAGTCTAGTATCTTTCTGCTTCTGGGATACCTCACTCAGGATGATCTTTTCTAGATCCCACCATTTGACTGCAAATTTCATGATTTCCTTGTTTTTAATTGCTGAGTAATATTCCATTGTGTAAATGTACCAAAATTTCTGCATCTATTCTGCATCCATTGAGGGACATCTGGGTTGTTTCCAGGTTCTGGCTATTACAAATGAAGCTGCTGCAAACATGGTTGAACAAATGTCCTTGTGTACTTGAGTAACTTTTGGATATATGCCTAGGAGTGGTACAGCTGCTATCTTGAGGAAGCACTATTCCTAATTGTCTCTGAAAGCGCCAGATTGATTTCCAAAGTGGTTGTACAAGTTTACATTCCCACCAGCAATGGAGGAGGGTTCCTCTTTCTCCACAACCTCTACAGCATGTGTAGTCACTTGAGTTTTTTATCTTAGCCATTCTGATGGGTGTAAGGTGAAATCTCAGGGTTGTTTTGATTTGCATCTCCCTGATGGCTAAAGACGTTTGAACATTTCTTTAAGTGTTTTTCTGCCATTTGATATACTCTGTTTAGCTCTATATCCCATTTTTTAATTGGATTACTTGATTTGTTGCTTTTTAACTTCTTTAGTTCTTTATATATTCTGGATATTAGCCCTCTGTCAGATACAGGGTTGGTGAAGATCCTTTCCTAGTCTGTAGGCTGTCATTTTGTTCTGAAGACAGTGTCTTTTGCTTTGTTTTACAGTCTTTTGCTTTCATGTGGTCCCATTTATTGATTGTTGCTCTTAGAGCCTGTGCTGTTGGTGTTCTGTTCAGGAAGTAGTCTCCTGTGCCAGTGAGTTCTAGGATCTTCCCCACTTTTTCTTCTAATCAATTTAGTGTGTCTGGTTTTATGCTGAGGTCTTTGATCTACTTGGACTTTAGTTTTGTGCAGGGTGATAAGTATGGATCTATTTGCATTTTTTACATGTAGATATCCAGTTGGACCAGCATCATTTGTTGAAGATGCTGTCTTTTTTCCAATGGTTTTGGCTTCTTTGTAAAAAAAAAATCTAGTATCCATAGGTGTGTGGATTTATTTCAGGGTCTTCTGTTTGATACCATTGATTCACCAGTCGGTTTCTATGCCAGTACCATGCAGTTTTTAGTATTGTTGTGCTATAGTACAGCTTGAGATCAGGGATGGAGATACCTCCAGAAGATAGAAAAGAGGAATATTTTAGTAATTTATTTAGACATTTGTATTTTTCTTTCATATGATACCAAAATTGAAGAAGTAGTCTCATATATATTTTTTTAAAGTCAGTTGATCTGTGTTTCACTTTGTTTGGGTTTGTTTTACACATGAGTGCTTTTGTATATATATTAATTATTTTAGAAAATGATTCTCTGAATCTTGTGGATCTTCGGAATACTTGCTCGTTTCCTTACTCAGAATTCAAAGGCCACGTTTGTTAATATTACCAAAGATATTACTATAACATTGTTATCCTAATGCTAGTAGATGGAGGTCTTCCATAATTCTTGTTTTTACCAACAGATTCAAATTTTACCATTGACAATACATATTAATTATTTTTATAATTTATGACAATACATAATAATATTAAGTAATTGCTTTAACAGACTCATTTTTTCCTGAATACATTTTAAATTATTATTATTAATTGCAACTTTTTCAATTTTTATTCCATCTATAGCCTCCTTCCTCATCTCCTCACAGTTTCTCCCATGGTCCCCTTTTCTCCCCCATGTCCCTCCCCTACTCCACTGATAAGGGAGGCCCTCCTCTGGTACTATCTAACCGTAGCCTATCAGGTCTCATCAGGACTGTATAGATCCTCTTTCATTGTGACCTCATTAGGCTAGCTCACCGCCAGGAGATGTTGAAAAAGCTGGCCACAGAGCCTATGTCAGAGATAACCCTCATTTCCATTACTAGCGAACAGACATGGAGACTGAGCTGCCCGTGGGCTACATCAAGCAGGGGGTCTAGGTCCTCTCCATGCATGGTATAGGTTGATTCATCAGTCTCTGCAGGACTCCCTGAGCCCAGATTTTTTGGCTCTGTTGGTCTCTTTGTGGAGCTCCTGCCCCCTCTAGGTCTTTCTATCTCCCCCATCTTTCATAAGAGTTACTGCACTCTGCCCAAAGTTTGGCTATGAGTCTCAGTATCTGCTTCTGTACCCTGCTACATAAGAGTCTTTCAAGACAGGGCTCCTGTCTTGTTGCCTGTCTTTTCCTACTTCCGATGTCTATCCTGTTTGCCCTTCTGAAAGAGGATTAAGGCTCTTCCCTAGGGTCCTCTTTGTTGTTTAGCTTCTTTAGGACTATAGATTTTAGTATGTTTATGCTATATTATCTGGATAATATCCACTTATAAGTGAGTATACACCATGTGTGTCATTCTGGGTCTGGGTTACCTCACTCAGGATGATCTTTTCTAGTTTAATCCATTGCTTGCAAATTTCATGTAGACCTTCAAAGAAGAGTTAATACCAATACTTTTTATTTTATAAAATAGAAACAGAAGGAACATCACCAACCTCATTCTATCAGGCCATAGTCACCTTGATACCTAAACCAAACAAAGACCCAACAAAGAAAGAGAACTTCAGACCAATCTAGCTTATGAACATCGATGCAAAAATACTCAATAAAATACCCACAAACCAAATCCAAGAACACATTAAAGATATCATCCACCACAACCAAGTAGGCTTCATCCCAGGCTGGCAGGGGAAGTTCAGAATATGGAGATCCATCAGTGTAATCCACCATATAAACAAACTGAAATGAAAAAACAAACAACAAACAAACACATCATCATCTCCTTAGGTGCCAAAAAAGCATTTGACAAAAATCCAACACCCGTTCATGTTTAAAGCCCTAGATAGATTAGGGCTATGAGGCACATACCTAAACATAGTAAAGACAGTATACAGCAAGCCTATAGCCAACATCAAATAAACGGAGAGAAACTTAAATCAGTCTCACTGAAATCAGGGACAAGGCAAGGCTGCCCACTCTCTCTGTATGTCTTCAACACAGTGAAGTCCTAGCTAGAGCAGTAAGAACAACTAAAGGGGATCAACAGGATGCAAATTGGACAGGAAGAAGTAAAAGTATTACTATTCGCAGATAGGATGATAGTATCCCTAAGTGACCCCGACTCACTTTTGAGAGCATGTCTGCCAGATTCCAAATTCTCCACAGACCTTGGTTGTTTAGGCTACAGAGTTGAGGGAACTGCAGCCCCTCTGTATAGGAGAATTGTGTTTGCTTAGGTTGTATTTTGTCATACAGATTATTAAAAACCCTTTCAACCATGGAAAGGTTGAAATGTAATAAAATTAACAATTTTTGCTACTCTTTGTATTCGTCAATGAAGCTGACATTGTCAAGAGAAATCTTGTGACATATGTGGCCAATTCAGATTACGGTGGTTATTTTTATGCCTAAAGTGCGGGGAAGCAGATGCAGAGTTACAACATTGGAGAGAGTAAGCTGGTGACATCACAAGGGCACCTTAAGTGGGGGCTGCTTCTTGAGAACATAGGTCGTGAGAGCTGTAGTTACATTAAGTGTTCTCTTATCTTACAGGTGCTATACTGGGTAGATCAGAAACTCAGGAGTGTCTTTTCTTTAATGCTAATTGGGAAAGAGACAGAACCAATCAAACTGGTGTTGAGCCTTGCTATGGTGATAAAGATAAACGGCGACATTGCTTTGCTACCTGGAAGAATATCTCTGGTTCCATTGAAATAGTGAAGCAAGGCTGTTGGCTGGATGACATCAACTGCTATGACAGGTAAGACTGCACTGAAGTTTTATGAGAGTTCAGTGACTTGCCTTCTCTCTGTCCCACCTTGGGAAGAAAAGAGATGCATGGATGTTCACGTAAGTGTTTCTTACTGTTGTGAAGATGGAATTATGAAGACCATAGTAACATGTACCAATGACAAAGTCTTTCTAAGTAATAAACATGCCATGTTTATGCTTTATCCTTGATATATTTTGAGTAATCTACAAATAGTGAGAACCCTTATATATGAATAATTTTTACCATCTTATTAGTATTATAAGCTTTAATGCCAATTTAAAAATTGTTTTAAAAGAAAATAATATATATGTTGGAAAGTCTATGCTCAGAGAGGAATTGCTTAGTTGCAGTACTTAATTTCCATTCAATCTCCATCTTTATATCTCTGACCTCCTTTCTTTTTTGTCTTGTAACTAGGCCTTTGTTTTTTACCCCAAGAGATATTTAAGTTGATATTTAGACTGATATCAGAGCGAAAAACTAAAACAAAGCTATATTTTCTTTAATAGATCTCGTTTAAATTGCTTTATACTAGAAATAAAATAAATGGTCATGTTATTGAATCCTTCTGATCTTTCTGTAAGAAGGGACATCAATATTGAACTGATCATTTTCTTGCCTGTACTACAGCTTTTGCACTAGGGATGGGTGTTGTAGAATGGTAGAGGCCTGCAGAGCCCCAGGTAGGTGAAGTTAGGCTATGTCTGCTGATCTTTCTGTTCCTAGGAGCATCAGTTACCTAGAATTGATGATCGGTTAGCCATATGTGATTTTAGGCATTAAGTGAATAAATGATGAAGATAAAATTAGCTCTACTTCATGATATATTAAAGTATAATCATTTAGTTTTATTTTTAATACTTGAGTTATACTTTTTTTTTCTCTTTCTTTCAAGGCAGGGTTTCTCTGTGTAGCCTTGGCTGTCCCGGACCTCCTCTGTAGACCAGGTTGACCTCGGTTCACAGCCTGCTTCTGCCTACCTGAATACTGGGATTAAAGGCATGTGCCACCATGCCCAGCTTATTAATATTCTTTACCAGTATTTCTGATTTTTTTGGTCTATACTAGTAGAGTTATATAACCAAGTGATATCTGCTCTTATAAAAGGAAATGAGAAGACCCTAGGAAAAAATGTTGGGGTCATCTTTACTTTTATTGATCTTTTATTAGTTCATATCAGGAAGTTGTGTGTGTATGTGTGTGTACATACACATGAGTGTGTAGTGAAAACTACTGTATTTATTGGTTTTAAACCCATTGTTTACTTATATGATATCCAGACAGTGCTGAAATGCTTAGTGAACCATTTTTTAGAGCCTTGAAGAATATGTTACTCAGCATAAAATGCTTTCTCTCAGTGATAATTATACCCACTTTGTTTCTGGGTGTTAAATGCTGATAATATAGAAATCCCTGAATCAAATTTTCATGCCTTGAATTTGATTGAAAAAACAAATAAGGCTAGTAAGAGAAGTAAGAGAATTTTCTAAGTATATTTTTTTTTCAGTTCTTAGAGGCATGACTAAATAAGGATTGTAAAATTTCATATTTCTTATATATTGTGAAAACAGCTTTCACTTATCTTTTAATTTTTTCTAAGTAGGTATTAATAGATTCTGTTTAGAGTTTGATACTGGTAAAGCCATTAGCTGTAAACTTCAGCTTTTCTCTGGAGTTGTCTCAGCTGTACTGTGATTAATATGCCACAATGCTTCAGGCAGATGTTTGCTGCATCTTTAGGGTCACTGAGGTTTAACAGCAATATTTAAAGGACAGGTGTATGTAGCTGTTTCTTAGTAGTTGATTGGAGCTTGTTTTTCAAGCTGCTGCTTTTTATTTTAATTTAGTTCAGCCTGACTCTTATTAGTCTGAGGTATGAGGTCCTATGTGTTTGTTGTTAATATTTGTTCTCTCGTAAATCATAATCTGTTCAACCCTTCAGGAATCATAATTCTATTACTGTGAGGAAAGAAAAATGACACTCCCAAAGTTAGTTTGGGCCTCTGATGCTGAAATATGTTCTATTCATGATATACAAGCTCACATTACTTAGTGTATGTGTTTATTTAGCTTATATTTAGTTTTCGGTTTTTAATCTTCACAAGATGGGAAGTTATATTTCCCACGAGCAAATACGAATCCTAGACTAAATTGCCTCACTGACTTTATGTTCTTCAAGCTTCTCTAATAATTAAAAAAAAAAAAAACAAAAACAAAAAAACAAAAAACAAAGGAGATAGTTACCTTAGGTTGCTCATTACAAATCGCATTACAGCAATAGTCTCAGGAAGTCAGTGTGAGCATCATAAACTCAGATGTTTATTTTTTTCTGCTGAGGTTAGTACCAGAAGTCTAGAAAACAATTTTAATTTTAAGAATTGATTTTTGGATACTCATAAACACCTTGAATTTGAAAGTAATGACTCCTGTCTCAGAAGAAACATATCTATTGTAGGTCTGTATAATGATATTGGTATTAATTATTTGTCCTTTCTTTTCTTTTCTTTTTTTTTTTCTTTTATTTTTTTAAATAGGACTGATTGCATAGAAAAAAAGGACAGCCCTGAAGTGTACTTTTGTTGCTGTGAGGGGAATATGTGTAATGAAAAGTTCTCTTACTTTCCGGAGATGGAAGTAACACAGCGTAAGTATATAGTGAAGATAAATACTTGTTCTGCTCATAAATTGAAATTATATTTGTGTTGCTGAAGTAATTTACTTCTACTTTCTTATGTTCTACTTTTCCTCAAATCTGACTCTATGCTAACTATGTATTCCAGGATTGTGTAGACCAAATCTGAGACATTTCCTCTTTCCTCTTTCACAGCCACTTCAAATCCTGTTACACCGAAGCCACCCTATTACAACATCCTGCTTTATTCCTTGGTACCACTTATGTTAATTGCTGGGATTGTCATTTGTGCATTTTGGGTGTATAGACATCACAAGATGGCCTACCCTCCTGTACTTGTTCCTACTCAAGTAAGTTACTGTCCTGTATTTTCTGATGCTCATTTTATATTTTAAAGAAGTAGTAACTGAAGTATAACTGAGTAATATGTTAACTCCTTTGGAGTTCATTTTTGGAATGTTCATTGTCATGGAAACTCTAGCTAATTGCAGACTTACTGATTTTGTATGTCATAAACTTCTCAAAGGTTGTGGTAGAGTTAGGGTCTTGACATCTCTAGTCTCCTCTGTAGAGTCTCCCTATTATCCCAGTGCTTTAAGTTTGGAACGTACTCTGCTTTCATCTTGAAGTAATTAATAATGAAAAAGTGGTCTCTTTCTCTTCTCCATACTTTTCTCTCTTCAGATTTAATGCCTTTTTAAAGACTCTTTGCCAAAATAACACTTGACTGTTAGAATTGACCCAGAAAGTTAGCCAAGAAAGTAAGGGAAAGAGAAGTTTTATAAAGAGTGTAGGTGTGTGTGTGTGTGTGTGTGTGTGTGTGTGTGTAAATATCTTTTAGATAAAAGTGGCAGAGAAATACTTCTTACTATGCATTGCTGGGGTAGTTCTGATGTGTTATTTGTTTATAGCAAAGCAAATATTTATTGGATACTAAACACTTTAGAAAAATTCTTTGAATTTCACTCACTTCAGAAATATTTCTGAAAATGTGTACTGGGTAATAAGATTAAAATCCCTGCATTTTCTTTAGTATCTGTTACGTAGCGTGCTATCACTGGTCTGGTGCTACAGGGAATTTCTATGGAAGTAGCTGGTATTCTGCATGCTCAAGAAAGCTGATAGCTTGTTTATGCTTTCTTGAGTCATCTCTAAATTCTAATTTTATTGTGTTTCTTTTTTTAATTTTTTTTTATTAAATACAGTTTAATTTGTATCCCATCTGTGGCCCCTCCCTCATCTCCTCCCAATCCCACCCCCTCCCTCTTCTCCCATGTCCCTCCCCAAGTCCACTGATAGGGAAGGTCCTTCTTCCTTTCCCTCTGGGCCTTCTGGGTCTTTTGGTTTAAACTGTGTCTTTCTAATGTTAGTAAGCTAAATGGTAAAGTTTGGTAAAAGAAAATAGTAAAATCTGGTATTTTAATAAGAACAATTCTACCTGAGCATTATTTATATAGCACACCCAACAATGTGTTGTGTTATCTCATTGATCTCTGTAATCTTTGGAAGATATATGTGGAAAAATAAACCCAGTGGTAAATAACTTGTTCCATACTTCTGTCAGTGACTTTAAAATTTTGCTTTAATATCTAAATTTAGAAGAAAAGTACTCTGTTTTAATAATTCCCTGAAATTACCATAGATTCATAAATGTGACAGAAAAACCTAAAAACCACATTTAAGGGAAATTTATAAATAACTTTTAGAATTTGTATTAAAGGAAATATTGAACATTAACGTTATAGATAGAACATTGAGGTATATTCAATGCTGGGTATAAAAGTGTGGTTAAGATGGTCCTGTGTGAATTAATTGAAGGGTTTAATACTTTTGTTTTTAAAGAAGGAAAGACATGGTTACTATTTCTAAATAATAAACCGAGATCTGGTACTAGTGTTTTCCTCTGGGCTTTAGCTGTTATTTGCTGTTGATACTCTTGTTCATGTTTAGAAATGCTGACAAATAAGGAGTCAGTGTTGAAGTTAAGCAAGTTGGCATGGACAAGTTCTTATAAAAATTTCAACACAGAACTGAGTTTAAACTTTCTTTGGGTTTTAAACTGCGTGCAAAATGGCATTGTTTTTTTTTTTTATGTGGCATCTTGCTCTGGTCACCTCAGACTTTCTCTGAAACTGTAATTGAATGCTTTAAGTCTAATTTTTGGTGAGAGATTTATGCAAATTTTGTAATCCTTTTAAATTTAAAAATAATTGGAGGTAATTACATTAAGCATTTATTGAAATTTAAATGCCAGTTCTAGGGTGCTGTTATGAATAATTACACACACCCATACACACACACGCGCACACACATAAAATGCTTCTTTTCAATGACTTCTAAATTATGTTATTGCTATGTAAAGATAATCTTTGGGATTTGTTAGAACACTCAACATTCCTGGACCACACTTCTGAAAGCGTAGAGTGGGGCTGTTGATAAAGTGTATTTAATAAACACTGGCTTAATTAAATTTATCTCATAGGACTTAGTAAGTAGTATTAGATTATAGATAAACTGTGATGTATGAAAAGCTAAGTGTCAGAGCTGGAATTTAAACCAAGAGTTTTTTCAAGCTTTGCTCCTTCTGCTTTTCTGTTTTGCTTTTGCTTTTAGAAAGCAGATACTTCTGATTATTATTAGGTAATGCAGTAACATCTCTGAATCAAGTTAGTGTCGGTTTGCCTTCCTGCTGTAGATACTAGGCAGTTTGTGCACCTACTAATGTGAGCACTCCCATCACCTCCTGTTAGCCCCTCGGGAAGATGAAGGAGCAGGACTTACAGCCGTACAGAAAACACACTACTCATGTGCTTTTCTTTAAACGTTGTTGGAGAATTCAGAAAACACTTTTTGAGAAGAGATTGGGTCATCAACAGAAATTCCTGGCTGCTGGTTTGATGGTACCAGCCTGTGTTCATTGTTTAAGGTGTTTGGAGGTGGCATTGAGTGGATAGGTGAGATTCAGTGTACACTTAAAGTCTTGAGGACATGTCTACCTTTTACCCGAATAGTGTTCACCTTCCCAGCTAAAAGCCATGTCGTGAGAAGATCTTGCAGCTTGCCAGTCCTTGCACTGTGTTTAAGTTCTTTAGGAAAACGAAATAGTATTTTTCACTCCTTTGAGAAACTTTCAAATCTTTAGCTAACAGCTGGTTTATCAATAAACTGTATTTTGTAATGAATTGACCTTGTCAATATCAATAAGCTGTTTTTGTGAGTTAAGTAATGGGAGTCTTTATGGTAAAGACATTTATTTAGAGTATTTTTCATCTTTATTACTAATATCTGAAGAGATATTAGGACATACATACGTTAAAATTTGGTTCTTTTAAATTATGGTTCCTTATAATGAACAAAAAGCATTTACTCTAAAATAATTTAGCATGATTAAAGATATCAAAATGGCAAGTCTCTGTGTGCCTAATAATTGAAGCTCCTGCTGTTTCTTTATAACTCTTAGCTGCAGTGTCTCCCTGTTGTAGCTCTCAGCTGCAGTGTTTCTCTGTTGTTTGTTGGTGTCACTGCTTTCCCAGTCAGCTGAGGGAAAGTTGGAGAATTTTGTTCTCAGCTCTGCCATTTCCCAGACCTTATTCACCACCTTTTATCCTGATAGTATTATATTCAGAATGTGTCTGCCCTTGAGGCTGATGTCTATATAACCTTAAAGCTGGTCTTCTTGCTTTTATACCCTTTTTTTCCACCTCTGTTATTGTCAAAATAATATTTTACGTGTGGATTATGATACTTCTGCAATTAAAAATACTCAGGGGCTCTTACTGCTGTGCACCCCATCATGTGTGGTTCACCGTATGCCATCTTCTGGTTCTTTCTCTATACTATACCCCAAGCCATCCAGCATATGCATCTAGAGAGATATTTATATTTTCTCTCCTCTGTGATTCAGATAAATAAGCCTAGAAGAGAAGAGGTCATAGAAATTGTATATGTATTATATCATATCTCGCTATTCAACTAGGTTACAAGCCTCTTGAAGACAAAGTATGTAACAATTGTGTTTATAGTGTTTGTGAGGAATGCCCATCCTACAAGCACTGAATACTAATTTGAGTTTGTTTTGTGTAGAGTCACATTGAGACGATAACATTATTCCCAGGAATTCTGTAATAAACATTCAGATGCTTTTAGAACTTTGCCTTAAGATAAATCTTGAGGCTGTATTTCATGCTATAAGTTGAAGTGTTCTTAGCTTTTATAAGACAGTGACATGATCACAGACTCAGGAAGCAGCCTCACTGTATTTTATATAGGCCACATTTCTTTTGCTTATGCTGAAACACTGTACACACATAGGAAGAAGCTTGTACACAGTGAGTAAATTGAATGCAAACTTTTTTTTTTTTCGTGATAGTGAGTCATGGATATGAGGGAATTGATGGACTCTATTATTAAACCTTTTGTGATAAAAAGTTAATGTGTTTTCAGTATAACTGTATGTGAGCCTAAGTTTCCTGTTCATAAGAGCTGTGTTTGTACTGATAAAACATTATGGTTGATAAAGTGAATGTTGAAGTCTAGAATTGCTTACATTAAATGAGGTGTGAAGTTAGTCTTTTTGCTCATTTTAAAAGGCTATGTAAATAGCACTTTAGTATTGCAACAAGTGAAATCATCTTCTTTAGTCCTTATTCTGTCCAGTTGTTGGTTTGAGATGGAGTAAGGGCTTTCAGATGTTGGGGATCCCCAAGTTGAGCATGCAAAGTAACCATTGACCTTAATATTAAAGTCATAATAGCTTGTGATTTCATGCAGTGCCAAATTACTACCCACCAGAAACCAAGTCATCTGTGAAAGTGCTTTGTAGAATTTTCTTCTTGCTTGTGAACTATATGCGCATCCATAGAAGAGTAGTGAGAGACCAAGTTACAGGGTAACATATTTAAGCCAGTTTAGGAAAATGTGTTCCTTTTTTCTTATGGAATATGTAGGAGAAACTTACTAAATTTTATTGCTAATATGGCATGTTGATATTGATATCAATTAATATTGATAATATTTAGCATTAAATCATACTTAGAAAATTAATCTATTATTTATAAAAGCACACATTTAAAAATACATTTTAATTAAAATATAATTACATTATCACTTTTCCTTTCCCTTCCTCCTGCAGGCTCCCACCAAGTTCCTTTCTTCCAGCTCTTTTCACATCTTCCTGCCTCACTCTCACATCAACAGCTTCTTTTCTTTGACTATTTTGCTATCTATCTATCTATCTATCTATCTATCTATCTATCTATCTATCTATCATCTATCTATCTATCTATCTATCTATTGTACTATATGCATAAATGTAAAGCTACAACCTACTGTGTCTGATTTTATTGTTTTT